TCTGTTGYCAGGTAGCCATGATACCAGAGCCTGTCTGTATAATGTCTTGTGACGTCCACGGCCTACCCCAGTTACCACTACTGTGCATGTGTGTCAAGGACAGAAAGGCAGATGTGGCAGTGGAAGGTGTCAAAGCAGTTCGGAGAGAAAAACAAAGTAAAAAAAAATAGATTAATCGATTATTAAATTAGTCATTGATTATTTTAATAATCAATTAGTCGTCGACTAATCATGGCAGCCCTAATTACAATACGGCTTCAGTTTATTGTTGTTTGCACAATTTCCAGGTCCTGCTACTAATTTGATGCTAATGTGCTAAAAGATTAACTATTTATTTATAGCAATACTAAAGAACAACTTGACAAGTTGCTCAACATTCCTCATTTTAATGCAGTGGTAACTGCATGCTTTTTCCTGTAAAGGCTAGAATATTATGACGTTTTTCTCATAATATTACAACTTTAATCTCGTAATATTATGACTTTAATCTCATAATATTATAATCTCGTAATATTACATCTTTATTGTCATATTATGACTTTATTTTTATATGACTTTAATCTCATAATATTACAACTTTAATCTCGTAATATTATGACTTTAATCTCGTAAAATTATGACTATTCTCGTAATATTATGACTTTAATCTCATAATATTATAATCTCCTAATATTACATCTTTATTCTTGTAATATTATGACTTTAACTTCGTAATATTACCTAATTATATCTTTATTCTCATAATATTATAATTATATATTTATATGACTTTAATCTTGTAACATTGTGACTTTAAACTTATAATATTGACTTTAATCTCGTAGTATTGTAATCTCGTAATATTACGTCTTTATTCTCATAATATTATGACTATATATCTATACGAATTTAATGTCATAATGTTGACTTTATTCTCGTAATTTAAAAAAAAATAAAAATCTCGTTGTGTGGCCCTAACACTCTGTTGTAATACACCGTGCTACTTGCTACTTAAGGTTTTTTTGTTTGTTTTTTTGTTTACGTTTGTGAAACAGTGAGACTGCAAAGATCCCAGCTGTGTTGGATTATAAGGTCACTCTACATTAAACTGATATTGGTTGAACTCTGTTAGTTTGCCTCGATTGTTTGGAGGCTCTAGCAGAGCTTTTATTTTGAGTTAGGCCACTCTGTGTTTGTTTTTCTGTGTGAACAGGCCTATGTGATTGAAGACAACAGACAGCTGATCCTCGAAGGTCAGCTTCATGTGGCGCTGCAGACATTTGGAAAAGAGACCAGTTCTCTGGTTCCTAAAGAGGTACAACAAACACCAAAACACCCAGCTTTTGATTTCCTCTAGAGCTCAGTGAACATGGTGTAATAATGAGAAACAACAGGGATTTCATGTTTGTTTTATTGTCTTTATATAGAATTAGACAAATACGTCATCAATTCATTCTGTTTATTCTCCACCAGTCGTAAACAAATCCGGGTTCAGGACACCTTATGATGTCCCCGTGTGTTGTTGAGTATTTGATTGTTTTTGCAGGAGGCCCAGGAGATGGTTCTCCTCAAGTTTAAGTCCGACTTACCTCCTCCAGTCATCCTGCCCTTTCCAGAACTTTCTCAGCTCATTAAAACTAACCTGCACTACCCGGAAACCTTCACACATCACTTTGTCCAGGACAGGTGAGTTTGACGTTTTCCCTTGTGCTAAAATATTCTCTCTGTCAGTTTTTATCATGTTAAAACAGTTAAGATTAGATTAGATTGAAGATGTAACATTAAAACATCGTCTGAATGATGTGAAAGGTTAAAATGTTTTTATATAGAGAAGAAATAGTTCCTCTCAGTGAGGGGAGAGGTTGCAGAAACCACAGGGATTGTAATATATTTAGTCAAACCAACACACCCGTTCTGAACAATAATATTGCACTTTACAAGTTTTTCTGATATCGCACAGCCATGATTCTCAGCTACTACCACTCCAAAATTAAGCTAAGTGTTTGTAAAAATGGCTTGAAATGAAATTAGCTTGTGTTGCCTAACTGTGGTGACCTTGAATTGACCCTGGATGGGCTTGACTCCAAAGTTTAGTCAGTTGTAGAGCCAATGAATCTGCAGTTTTCATTAGAATGTATCCAGTGGTTTAGAACAGATATTGCTATCAGGCAGGTAAAGGAAGTGGACAATAAACATGTTTGATTTGCTGTAAACAGTGAGTCTGTTAACAGTTTATTACACAAAGCAGAACTTAGTTAAGATTTCTGGACATCACCAGCACCACCAGGTGTTTGTATCTTTGTCAGCCTGAGGCCAGATGAAAGAGTTTAATTGATATGTCAGCATTTTTAACTGAGGTCAAAGGTCATGTAAGGAACTGGAGTACAGCTGGTTCTGTTTGTGTCCACAGTCTGTGTCTGGTCCCAGTCACTCTGACCCTGTCCAACTGCTCCTTGGCTCTGATCGACGTCATCATCGACCTCCGACACAAAAACACCAGGTGAGTTTCCTCAGGGAATAAACCACAGAGAGATGGAGCTATCCAGGGTTCTGATCCAGTACAGCTGGATCTGGAGCTGGCCGACTCGATGCGTGGCTCTGGCAACACGAGTGGTCATCAGGGCTAATACTAAAGCTAACAGGCTAAGCTGAGGTTCTTCTTCCATGAAGCAGCTCTGTTGTCCTCCATCCATATTTTCAGTTACAGGCTGAGTCATTTCTACCTTCTCCTCTCTGTCAACGCTCTCTGGTTTCATTTAAAAGAGTTGATCATCAGATATTGTCCAAGATTAACCTTCAGGGTGGATAAGAGCTCACACCAGAAAGCGTATTAAACGTCATTTACCCAGTATATGCTTTGCAGCGTTAATAAAATGGTGCCGTCTGTGTCACAATATTTTTTTCAATTTATAAAAACTAAACAGCCTACAACAATATTTTTAGTCTTTATTTTACAGTTAAAGTAAATGTTTATCAGATAATGTTCCAAGTAATCGTGGAACACTTTAAACATAACCTTGATAATGTGCACGATGATGCTCGGGGATAAATGTTAACAGGAAGGATGATTTTGCAGTTGTGGTGTTAAATTCAAAAGGATGATATTTAAAAAGGTAAAAAGAAAAAGTAAACCTTTGCTTATTACTAAATAATTACCTAATTTCCCTCTGGGATCAATAAAGTGTTTTTGAATTTGAATTGAATTGAAATAACTTCAAACTGCAATTTTTTAATGGGCTTGATGGATATCTGCTCTAAAAATTAATATTTTACAGTAATATGCTGGTATTATCAATTTATATGCAGACAGAAGATGGGAAATAATAATAATAATAATAATAATAATAATAATAAAAAGTTCAAGCTCAGCATTTTCTTCCACGATCAGTGCTGCTTTATGAGCAAAATAATCAGTTATTAAATGACTTCTTCAGGTCCTGGTTGGAGGTTTAAATCCAATGGGGTGAATTCTTAGGCACACTCCAGTCTCCAGCTTTACGATTTAAATGGATCCATGATTAGTTGTAACATTAGACTTTATTTGATAAACATATATTTTAACTGTAAAATAAAAACCTTAAAAATACTATAGGCTGTTTAGTTTTATAAATTTTTAAAAATATATTTTAACAAGGATGGAGCCATTTTATTTACACGCAAAGCATTCTGGGTAAATAATGACGTGGACTCTTTTAAATGAAACCAGAGAGCGTTGACAGAGAGGAGAAGGTAGAAATGACTCAGCCTGTAACTGAAAATATAGATGGAGGACAACAGAGCTGCTTCATGGAAGAAGAACCTCAGCTTAGCCTGTTAGCTTTAGTGTTAGCCCCGATGCTATATTGCCCATTGATATATATAATAAATATCAATGATACTGTATTGCCTTATATATATTAGTTCGGTGCTAGTGCGACAAACAAGCTAAACTGAGGTCCTCCATCCATATTTTCAGTT